CCCCCCCCCCCCCCTTTTGAGTTCTTTCGTGTCCAACCCCAAAGAATTGCTGCCCTTCTTTTTCCGCTATAGTGTTTGGTGGACTCCCACTTGTCCTCCAGCTTTGTCACATTTCATTATAGGCAATTGTTTCATGTATCTGTCTCTGCTGGTAGGCTGAGGCTCTTGAGGAATGGGACCATGTCTCTCATTCTGCGTGTCCTTGATCCTAATACAGCACCTGCCACTCTGTAGATGCTGAGATAGTTCTGGAATAAGAGATGAACAAACTAGATTGAAGATTTTTGAAAATCATGAAAGTTAATGTTTCTGTTATAAACTAATAGAACTTTTTACAAAAGTAAACCTAAAAGCAGTCTAAAGAAGAGGAAAAAAAGCCACCAGTGATTCTTATTCATGACTCTGCAGCATAATTGCTATTAGTATTTTGTTGTATTTCCTTTCATTCTTTTTTCTACATCTGTAGTTTTAATCATAGTTATAATTATGATTATATATATATGTGTGTATATGTTTGTGCATGTGTGTATATATCTGTGTATACACACATACATATATAAATGATGTTTCATTTAGCATTATATCATAAGCATTTCTCTGTGCTACTGTATGATTTTCATACCATTTGTAGTTGCTACAAAGTATTAGTCTGGAGAAGTTTTGATATTGAAACCTGAGGGTAAGAAGTTAATCTCTTTAAAATAGAAACAGTGAGAACTAAGATAGGTAGTGATTTTGAAATGCCAGAAAGGGATTGATTGTACCCCCTTTAAAGTATTTTCATTTATTCCTGACTTCAGGAAGTACCTACCACATGCCTGGTGGATCACTGCAGATGGAGTGAATAGGCAGGCAGGCGTTTCAGAAAGCTTACATTCTAAGTCTAATGGGAGGGGAGGGTAAAGACAAATCACACAAAACATCCAAAAAAAAGTGGTAAATGCTCTGCAGAACGTAAGTATAAGGTGATGAGACTTTCCTGTTAAAATAAAAACCAGCTGCTAATTACTGAGCAGGTCCTATGTTCTGGGGGCTGTGCATTTACAGTCTCTTGTTCTCACAGCTACCCCACAGGGTAAATAGACCTGACCTACTGAGAGCCCTCTTCAAGTGGTGAAATGCAGGCTTACCGGAGGGTAAGTAACTTGCCCAAGGTCACAAAGCTAATGGTTGTGGTTAGTATTTGAATCCAGTTCTGACTCTCAAAGCCCGGGTTTGAAAATTTGCCCAGCCTCTGTGATGCTTGAGAACTATTCATAGAAGAAAAATATCCCATCTTGAAGATAGGATTCTATAAATCGGGGTGGGGTCAGGGAATCTTGAATTTTAAAAGCTTCCCAGGTGATTTGATGCCCAGCCATGCCTGGGCACCACTGTCTTAAATATAATGCTCAGGAAGAAATTGTATTTTACTTTTTTGTAATTCTAGTGCAAATCTCTGCTGAACTTTTGACTTGTTTGTTTAACTGAAAGCTGGATATCTCTGTCTGGCACAATACACATTTAAATGTGAACTCTTCTTTCCTTTCCACACTTGTTCTTTCTCCTTTATTGAGTTGGTATCACTGTCCAAGTAGTCACTCAAGCTAGCTGATTGACTTTCCCTGTACGTCCCCACATCCCCTGAGCCCTGCTGACTCTGTCTTTTAACTATTTCTCGAGCTCATTTCTCCCTTTCTACTCCCACTGCCCAGTTTGAGCTGTCATCATCATGTCTCACACATGATCACATCACCTCCCACCTGGACTTTCTGCCTCTGTTTTGTCTTCTTAAACCCACTTTCTCAATAGCTGTCAGAGTGGCCCATTCAAAAAGTAGAACTGCAAAATTATGGGGTGACCTGTGCTTAAACATTCCTGTGCCTTCCCACGGCCTGCGCACAGGTGAAAATTCCAGGCTTCTTAGCAAGCCTTTGTAATCTCATCGTGTACTGCTTGAAGTTTCCGGTAGACACCATCCTGCTGCTGTTCTCTCTCTTCTGCCTTAAGTGCCTTTCTTCATCCCTTTCCCCTGGTTCATGCCACATCCTCTAAGAGTAAGCTCAGATTTCCCTTCCTTTGGGTGTCTTTCTTTGACCTCTGCTCCTCTTGAAGAATTTCTCCTTTGTGACCACATGATTTCCTGAGCACACCCATGCTCCTGTTATTTTACTTCCCGTACACTAAGTGCATCACAACTATGTTTATTATGTGTCTCTCTTTTTCATGAGACTCTGAGCTCTGGGTAGGGACTTCTTTACTCATTTTTCTATCTCTAGTACATAGTTTGTGCTTGAATGTTTGGATAAATTAAGGTGTTGCTTACAAAACTGAAACTAAAAGTGATGACACATGTTTACACATTGTTTTTCCATTACTGAGTGAGTGACAGCAGGCTCTGTTGTCTTAACTGGGTCAGTTTCCACTAGTCTTTTACGGACTAAATATTATCTCATCCAGCATAAATTTCATGGGCAGTCATTTTATCACCATCTTCAGTGTCCAGCCCTTCCTTGCCTCATCTTATTTGCTAGGCTGAAAACAACCCAGGCTTATGCCTGTGCAGCTGAGCATGGCTGCAGGAAACACTGCTGATGGTTCTCACTTTAAATTCATGATCAGGCACCTCAGGGGGCTCTTAATGCTGCTGGGAAGTCATGCTCTACTTCTTCTCTTCCCTCTGCTAAGTGTCTGTTTCATAGTTCTTCTCTCTCAAACCTCCACCCTTTCTTCCTCCATTCTCACTCTCAGCTAATGACATTTCTTTTTTTTTTTTTTTTTCCGTTAAATTTTTATTTTGTCAATATACACTGTATATGATTATTATGGCCCATCACCGACACCTCCCTCCCTCCTCCCTATCTCCCCTCCCCACCAAGAATGTCCTTTCCATTTGCTTATTGTAACAACTTCATAAAAGTATAGTTGTTATATTTTCTTCCCCC